TGTAGGGGTACGTGTCAGGTTAACAGTGACAATTAGTATGTTTTAAACTTGAAAATAGGCGTATAACCTGTACAGGATTCCCATTTCTTTGATGTACAAAGCAAAAGTTGTATAACTGCTTTAATTCAAGAGTAGACTGAGAATTGAAAATCCCACGAGCCCCAGAAACACATGTTTTCTATAGGCTCTAGCGATGCATTAAGTGACATACCAGTGAGCAACGGCAACCAATACATCACACTTAATTGCCAGCTTGATAGAAGGCAGTCTTATTTGTCATGGTGTCCCTTGCTCCCGATTGTATCCCTGCTAGTCGCTTTAATAGCTTTCTGTTTAGAGAGAGAAAGCGAATCGCTCATTCACTGCCGAATAAAAGTCGATCGGGTTACCCGCAGGTTTTGTGCGCTTGCTTTAATTTCAATACCATTGGACTCGAGACTCTGTATACTGATTGCGTTTAAATAGTTGTCCAATATTGCGAGAAGGAGTAGGTTACATTGGTGTGAGGCCATGGAGCATTTAATTCGTGCTCAGAGAATGTTAATGCATTCTGTGGTTGGTATAAGTTAGAAACAATACAATGGACCAATTGCGATAAAAATCGATACGGCGTGAGAAAAGAAAATGTTTAAAGGGTGTACATGTGAAGCCACATAAGTGCGGCTAGTCGGTTGTGGGTTAAGATGTTTTCAGACTTCTTGTTCAAATAGTTCAGTCTTAAAATACTATATTAATCAAACAGGGTGGAAAGACTGTCGGATGGACTTCTAGTAACCCGGGCATGATAACAATGTGGACAGGTGTTGAAGGAATAGACTGTGTCCGCTGTTGGGGAGGGGGGTAGTACGTTTGGTATTACCGCTCTTTGTGTTTTCTTGGCTGGGAATCATCGTCTTTTGGTGACGTGGATGGTGAAATCGGACAACAAATCATGGTTTGTTTCTCTGCTCAAGTGATTAAGTGAAGATAATGTATCCGCCATTTGTGAACATGTTAATTTTTGTCTAAAGTCTTTTTTAAATGATTAGATATACTATAGACTGATCGATTATTTGAAAGGTTACGGAGCGTATAACATTAAATGAGTGGATATCAGTACAAATAATTTGAAATTATGTGTTAAAGTTAAGAACAAAAAAAATACCATATGTCTAGTTAAACATAGTCTTTAACGTGTTGTCTTTATATGAATTACATGGAATTTCAATATATGCCACTCACTTTCATTACCGGGTAAGCCTCGATTATTTGACCATGTTCCTCCAATTTATATCAATCTTTAATTACGCAAAGAACGCTCTTTAATATAAGTCACCCACGCCCCCCGAAGACAAGACCAGATTAGATGGTGTGAATAATTTAAGTATACAGTACAATGTCTGGTCAGTGCATGACTTGCCAAGATTCTTTCTGCCTTTCATATAATTTCAATAACTCATGGAAAAACTTCAGTTTACGTTTTCAACACTTGACATCATTTGTCAGAGGACTAATTTAGAAGCTATTTTTTGTAAATAAAACAAACAGTACCCCAATCCCGTCACGTAAGCGTGTACAACAATGGCAGTATATTACCGGGCGACTGTCTCTGCTTTATGCAATGTGACCATGAAACTATTGCCAGTGCCCCAGCTCCACAGACACCGCCATCGGGTGGGAAAATTCGGGTTTCAGAACCAGTAAATACCAGGGAAGGCGATTGGTTGTTATCACGTTTATGTCGCTAATTTGACTGTACGGACCTCAAATCTGATAAGCGTTTTGTTCATATCGACCCTTTAGTCATGTCTGATGAACTGGCACCACCCACGCACATTGCTCCTGTAATGTCAGTAAATTAAATAAATATTTAATTAAATCGGTGTTTTGTCCTGATCTATTTATGTGCCGTAGGTTATGGCGGACGGAGACATCACCGACGTTATAAACTTATATAATATCATAATATACAACTCATGCTGTTGTCACTGTGTTCTGATCAGCATATAAGGTGTGGTAACGGTAGATTTGAGACAATCCTTGGCAGTGTCGCCATTTTGTTGCCGCTTAAGGTGTGGATATAACACACAGTGGTGATAAGAGTATTGATAGTTGTCGCTCAATGAAACGATTAACATGACACGTTTGATCGTACAACTCGGCAGACACGGGCCAACATTAAAATGCCACTGTTTACTGATTAGCCTAGATATTTAACACTCATGGCCAATATAGCCCATCAAGTTCAAAAACTCAGTATCACAAATACCTGACTGCGCCTATTTATAATTGTCAACATGTACGGTGATATCAATATTTTCAGAATGCGAAACATAAATCTCTTAAAATTTTAAAACATTTGTTGTTCTCCAGTGGAGTGAAGGAAATTACCATTAGAAATTACATTGTCTGAACCATGTTAAGAATGTTTTTATCATCACACGCAAAGATGTGTGAATAAAAGGATCAAATTTCAAATCCAACCGAATGCCTTAATTCAAGCACCACTCAAGGTTACTCATCATTTATTTGAACGTGTTAAACACTGACAGTTATTACTGAACGATTTGTTGTCGGCATCAAAACTAGAATATTGCGATTTTTATAGTGTGTGTTATAGTGGGTCGTGTTGTCGAGATTGTTTGGGCATGGGGTCATCATATTAACGTACACTTTAAAAACAACCCACGCACCAACAAGGAATATATATAAATAATCTAAAATAATAATAACGCAAATATAAATATTGGTTAACAATTCAAACTCATTGAAGACGTGTAAAATATAATTAAATGCGCTAATATTACCATTTATTGTGGCAAAAGCTATCAGAAATAGAATAGCGTGATTTTGAAACTTTGTAAATCAAATATTCGTAACAGTTATTAGAGTTAATGTTACATAACAGAGGTTTCATTCGTAAGAAACAAAGACGTGACGTCGAAGTTAGTGCTTGTCACACAGACGAACGGTAAGGTAACAGTCCGGTTGACTTATTCTTCAACGGGCTGGGCCGTTCAAGCAATGTAGCTAAGAACTAACCCAGGGGTTTGGAGCCAAATAAAGTACAAGTTGGCCGGACGATTAAATTAGTGTATCTGAGACGAAATAAACACAATATCACACTAAAAATTTGGGTGTCAAATTGCCAAAAAAAGACTATTTTGCCGCATTTGAGGGCCCAGAAAATTGAAATCGATAATTTATAGTGAGTTAAACGTCCTCAAAGACACGCTCTTGGTTAAATCCCCGTTACTATTTGCCGCACGTCCATTATACAAACACATACACAGAGTCGCTGGTAAGGAAGTAATGTCGCATGAAACGAAAATTCATTTAAAGTCCTAATCTATGGTGGTTGTTAGTACAAAATTGTGTAGACAGGATTCCTGACGAGCTGTGCATCTGTGAATTGGGGCTAGGGGACATTAATCGACCAAATCAAGCACAAAATCACCGCCGTACGCCATGCGTAGAGACTTTAATACACCCGCTGTAGTACATCTATGAAAGAAGTCTTCTGTACGTAACGCAGCTATGGCTGAGTCACAGCATGAGATAAAACTCCTACTAATAGCTTACTTGCGCGATTTACACTTTTAATATATATTGTGCCGTGATAGGAAGAACATGGGGCTTTTAAAATGCTGCGAGTTTTTATTTTATCACAAGTGAATACAATTTTCAAATCTATCGACGCTTCATTAGGTCTAAACTAAACCTCTTTGCGTTCCCGACACTGGTTTATTAACGGCTCCCGCAGCGGACCTAAACAAAGACACTATTCTGCTAGCTTTGAATCGTGATTGTTTCAAAAATAACCATAAAATATAAATGCACCATGTCTCGTTATTATTCCAATTCAATTTTCTTTGCGATATTATCAAAAACAACTGCATCATATAGATGTATATAACCACAGTGACTGGGTACGCCAAGGAACGAAGCGTCTGACAATAAGAGAGAGATTGACATAAAATATATTGTTTTACTTTTTTATTATTTAAAAAGGCTTACAGTTAGAAAATATATATACACAAGCGTTATTCCTTATTCTAATGCAGTATGCCCGTTAACATTCAAATCAGACAAGTTTATATATAAACTCATTGAGATGCAAGTTTTTGTTTTCTTTATTAAAGCGCAGCTGAGTGAAATAAATTATGGTAGTTTGAAAATCACACAGTATTGACTTTGTATTCTGTCGGTAGAAATTGTGAACTAAATTCAGAAATATGAATATGTACAAAATAATTACTTTTGCATCACCTACAATGGCATGAAGATATTGTACTGTCGATATTTAAATTCTAATTAATATATTTTTGCTTTGTTGCTATTCAAGGAGGCGAGAATCATGAGGTCAGGCGGGGTTCCTATCTTCTTCGATCAATTTGCCACGAACATTGATATTCATACGCCGAATTTGTGATGAAGGACTCTAGAAATTCGACGTCTTTGCGTCGATTCTGATTACACCCATTATACGCAGCAACGAATCCTCAGATTGACCAGACTTGAAAAGAAGAATCTGAGTGTTGGCACGCTTGACTGCGCATATATGATTCGCCGATTACTATAATATAACATGCCACTGTGCTCTATGAAGAGTTAAGAACTGAACAGTATAAATCGATTCATATTGTACATAATTATTCACTTTTGAGTCGGGTCATTCAAGTCCACATGCCGAGTAAAACAACGCCTTTTGACAAACACATATTGTGCATTATTATATGGCGGGTTTGTCAGTCAAAACATGCAAAGTTTTCCCCGAGTCTTGTTTCGGGAACTCTACTATTAATAATAATAATAGAAATAATATTTAATAATAATTAAAATATAATAATAATAATAATAATAATAACAGCAACAGCATTGATTCCATTGTTAGACTCCATGATCTTCAGTTATGTTCACTGGATAGACACTGCGCGTCATTTTCTGAAATCCGATTATCGTCAGAATCGATTTATAGGGACGACGAAAATAGACTAAGTTTTACACCCATTTCAATATGGCTACAGATTATTATCTCTATTTTGTCTGCTGTTGTCGGGATTTGCTGTTGATATGATGACCGATGGTGTTGTTTGATTCACTTCCCCCGTATCATCGTCACTAGAACACTCGCTGGAATCGTTATTACTTGAATCAAACCTTTCGTTCCCGTTACATTCAACAATTGTTCTTTCCCCAATGTCGGTTTTTTCATTGTTATCTTGTCTGACATGTGATTCTACATTCTTTTTATCAGTTCCGTTGCATTCAAGTTCACCCTCGCCATTATTTGGACAGTTCCCCTCTTTCTTCAGCTGTTCAGCCTGCCTTTGCTTAATAGTGTCAATATGTTTAGGACCACCGATTTTATGTTCTGCCGCTTCCGAGTTCGAGATACCGTCCTGTTTTTTCCACTTCGTTCTTCTGTTTTGAAACCAAATCTTCACCTTTTTGAACAAAAAAGTAACCAAAACGTTCCAATCAAATTTAGTATCGAGGTGATGCATAACTACTACAGCCTGCAGTTGACATAAAGTTCGAGGCAAGTACTGGTAACGCGCTAGGTCCAGCGTGGGAAAGGTCGTATAATAAAGAATGTGCTAAAACCAGAAGGTATATAAGGAATGATTGTATACCCTGTTTTATTACGGACATTTGTAGGAACAGCAAATTACACCATGGAATACATAACGAATATAACTGAGGTTAAATTATGTTTTGGTATATTCGGGAACTACGGTCCACGTGCTTATTTTTCTCAGGCTGATTTGCCTTATCCTTTGACCCAAATGAATACATCGGGGAATCACAATTACTCTTGGATAAACCGTATGCATTTTCAATTCTATTTAGTTTGTGTTTAATAACAACAGTAATTAATCTTTCTGGTTAATTAGTTATTTATTTACGACAAAATAGAGAAGTATCATATTATCATTAAAGAGCAAATATTCCGCTTGTCCTTTGGTGCATGTTTATGAGGCTTAATATTGCACAATTGGTGTGGACATTTGAACTGAAATGGACACAACGAACTATTTTGTCATAGAATAAAACTGTTTTTCATGAAACAGACATTGCACTTGAATGATTTGCTTTCATGGTTTATCCAATGATCAGTTGTTTTGATGAATTTTATACGCGAAACATGTTTTAAAAGCAAAACAAATGACCACAATAAGACATTTTGTTGAGTGTTTTGCTACAATAATTATTTTAAAAATTGGCGACTGTAGACTACAGTCCCAGCCCTGAGGCTGCCGATAAATTGTTATGCTTACATTAGCAATTTTCTAGCAATATTTCATGCGCGAATGTGCTATTTGCACTGTTGTAACGCGAAATTTGAGGAGTTATGTGTGTTGAAAATAACACATCACTTTAAGTCTACAACTATTTTTATTACATCCATGACACCCATCTAAATTCAATAGCTTGAGAACGGGCAGTAACTCGAGATTTGTGGCAAACACGTAAAAATAGTCCGAACGGCCTAGATGTCTTTATAGAAACTATGATGAGAGCCAGTTGTGCCTTTTTTTAATAATTGAATATAATTTAATGAATTAAATTTAATTGTTTACCTTATTTTTTTTTGTTTATTTAATTAATGAGTACTCTATGTTCACGCTTCTGAAATACACATTAAAATTTAAAATTTGTTTTCAAATTTTCACTTTTGTTTCAGATTCATTGTTTTATTAAACAGTAAAGTTGAATAATGTTCCATGTAATCTAAGTGAACACATCTCAATATATCTGTCGTTTCAAGTCAAAAATAATTCCGATGACGGAGAAGAAATGTTTACAATACTGCCACGGTCAGGGAAGGGTTCTGTGTTTGCGAATACTTTGGATCTAGGCGGAGCTAATTATTTTAAGTAAACTAACAATTAACGCATTAATTAATGTCGTCAAATCTTAAATGGGTCATTAGTGAAATAATATGTACATCTATGTGAAGTCTGTGAAAACAGTGTATACGGCATTAATGGCTCACCTGTGTGTCAGTTACGTTCAAGAGAGAGGCCATTTCTGCTCGCTCGCTTGCCGATAAATACTTCTTCACTTCGAACTGCCTTTCTAACTCGAATATTTGTCTTCCTGTGAACGTGGTCCGCGCTTTCTTTTTCTTTTTCTCGCTCCCTTCTTTGTCGTCTGATGTATCGTCAGAGTTACCGCTTTTCCGCTTGTTTCCCTTCGTAAGCTTCCCGTCGCCATTATTATCTATCGTATACAGAAGAGGTAACGAAAATTAACGTAAATAGTGTAGCTCTTTTCCATGGGGCAGTGAGATTGTTTTTAGGTGTGAATATTGCCCGATAAAACTGATTTTGCTGTCTGAATAAGCGTAATACATGGCCAGAGTAAACACTTCGATTGAATCGGCGGGCATGCATGGCTTTGTTAGTTTTCGACCCTGCAAACAAACACCAAACTTGCAAACAGGGAACTGAAAATGACTTTTGTAATTATAATGGCGTTGCATTTATAAGTCGAGACGTTATTTGAATGAGTGATCTTTCACGTCTGAATAATAGCTATTTGGGTGTACACCTGACACGTCCACGTTATCATACGTAAAGTGTGGGTATGATGCCGTTATAATGACCCATTATTTCCCTATTAACAGTTTAACCTTTTTGTACCTTGGTCAGCATTTGTTGTTACGCTCCCCTCGTCCGTTTCTCGGTCGCCTCCGCTTGTCTCACTCCCCGTTGAACAATCCAAAATATTCGCCGAAATATCAGACACTGTTTCGGTAATATCCCTCTCGCCGTTATCCGTGGTTCGCTTCTTTTCGGAGACGCCGTCTAGTGGCAGTGTGGGCGCTGGTTCTTGGTGTCGGTGTTTCGTCGTCAGACTTGTTTTTTCCTTGGGCGTCCGTACTGCTTCTTCGTTTCCGAGTATATTAGCGATGTAATACGGAGTGGGCCGTTTTGGGGGTTGTTCGTAGATATGTGGGTGCCATGTACCGATAGCGACGATGGAAGGGAAGTGCTTAATTACCCCGTTTGTCTCCATGGCCGCCTCGTGCATCATATGCCACCAGTCTGCCTGCACAACACACGTATCGCTACAGTTTGCCGTGGCTACAATTCTTAGACAGTCTATGGCTGTCGGTTCCTGCATGTAATAGCAGCGTTGAGATAAAACAAAATGTGGGTATATGATGCGCAGCTATTGATTCCTCACCGGCCAGCTCACGTAAAACGTGTGACTGCCTATATCATGTGTGTCCCTCAGTCGAAACAATACCAGGTATTAGCCTACACGCTCGATAACTACTGTTTTGCCACACACATGCATCGACCACAACTCCTTCTCTAGCTGCGGGAGGAGCTAGGTTTACCCCGGATCACTTGACACCACCAAAAAGACCGCTCAAGAAACGGTGAACAATCAAGCTCGAATTATTTGACACACTAAACAAATCAATAGAGCGATCGGAGCTCTGATAAGGGTAATTAAAGGCGGTTGTTGACAAGGGGGATAGGAGCTATCTGTGAAGCGCTGGCCCCATCGCGATATCGAATTCGTCGCCGATTGGGTGGTAGAAACTCTCTCAAACGGCGTACGCGGGCACTTAATGCGCCACACAATTGGTCAATTACGGGTAAATACACTCCTCGTGATTTATCATGCCTAATTTCTACTCTCTATTGTCAATCAATTTACGTTACATAGCAAAAGACGTCCCACTCCCCCTAATAGAGTCAAATTCACCAGTCATTGGGTGATTGATAGCAGCAGACTGCCAATTACAGACACCGACATAACCAGGGTCATGCGAAACAGCAACCGTTTTTTTATGGATTCGAAATGCTAACCTTTTAACAAAATATGGGCTCGGTCTTCTCTGTTACAGTCTGCTGGTGTATCATCACTCGTAGGTCGCTGCTTATCCAGACTTCTGCCAACGCTATATTATACCCCCTCGCGGGCTTGATAACAGTAGATAATGCAAAGTTCCTTAAGGGCAAAATCTAAGCAGTTTACAGCTGTCGTTTCCGTTTTCTTCAGAGCTTCGGCTCATAATGTCGGTGTAATAGGGGTAAAAGGAAAAATTTATTAGGAAATATTCCAAGTTGTCTTTAAAAACATTAAATGATTTGAAGAGAAACGTTGATTTTCACTCAAAATTTGAGTTACTGCTATGAACATAAAGATACTAAAATGCCCAGGGCTACTACACGGGCTTTGTAATACACCGAAATCTAGTCTGAACCGACATTGAGTCACGGTCAACACCCGCCATAAATGTATGCCGAAGTGGGATTCCTCTATATTAATGTCACGTTTAAAAGACATAATAGGGTAATTGATGAACTGATTTGTCGACTTGTGTTTTTAACCGATCCCGTATTGGTTGTCATTGGGGTCGACTTTCATGAAGCCCTATAACAGCATTTTAACGAGGTGCAGTTAAAGTACTTGCCGCGGCCTTTAGGTGTTAAATAGTAATTAAATGTGTACATACGGGGTGTTTTGTACACAGCCTAGCTCATTAGGTTATTTTTTATCAGGCTTCCCTGTCACACCGTGTAGATGCTTATCATTCCTTCCGCTGCCAATATAGCTATGTAAACGCGTCCAGACCCCCAGGCAAACACTATCATGACAACCAATAGAACTGAACGGGGACATGTGCAATTTTCAGTGGGGGAGACAGGGCTTACTTAATTCGGCAACCGTATAGACAAAATTGAGTAATGCCGCGGCGGGAGTCGGCGAAATTGATAGCAATCGTTGTTAGTCTGACCATTTATAACGACTCACACAGCCATAATCTGGCTGCGGACAGTTGTGTGCGAATGCGAGCATGTGAAACGAAGCACAGTAGCGCGCTTATTAAATTTGATTTAGCGAGAGGGTGACTCATGCATCCAACGGTGGAGGAGCAGTATAGCACCATTATCGTTATTCAGTGTCGTGTTGCTCTCTGATATAATTAAACAATCTCCCACCGTGCGTAGATTGTCAGCGCTTTCAGAAACCCGTATCTCGGCAAAGCTGGTTTGGCAAAGCAAACTGTCCACACTGTTCACCCCCAGGAATGCAATAGAGTGGTTCTCGTGTAGCTGCCAAGAGGTAGACTTTGGAACTGGCAAATTGATTATTAAGAGCGATAACTAAGTTGTCTTAATTGATGGCAGCCATTCACCGCCATTTAAGAGGTCGTTTGCACATTATTTGCCACACCGCGCTGATCCTTATCAGTGTTATTTCCACCTCCTTTGTTTTGCTTCATTGAGAAACACACTAAGGCGATTTTTCGGCGCATTCTGTACATCAATTGAACGGCTGGCCGAACAGACCCCATTAAATAAGTCGCCACTCCATTCTAACCGGCAAAGCCCCTGTTTATTCGAGGTGTCATTTACCGATCGACAGACCACTTAGTCAGAAAGAAATCCACTACTTTTGTAATAACTGCACTAGTAGATCTGCAAGTCAAACATATTGTTATTCGAACACGAGCACGCTCTATTGTGAACAATTAATGGAGCAGGGGATTGCAAAGCTTCGCTTTTCATTCACCTTTCTTCAGGTGAGCTAAACACTAAGTACTCGGTATTGGATGTCCTCGCCATGCATACTCAACTTCGAACTGCCGCAGCCAGTCTATCCAAATACATATGCTTTAAAAACTGTGTACCTCGGAGACCTCGGCTTTGGGTGTTACGACTTTAATATTTCTTAATACCGTAGTTAAAAAAAAATAGGCTTCGATTTTTCACAAGTGAAAAAAAAATTGTAATTTCTAGCAAAACAGAACTTGGAGTTCCTTCACGCCATCATGTTTCTGTTTTTTCTCATATGTAATCAACATTTTGTTGATTCAGTCCACGAAATGCTGTACTGAATGATCGAATACGCTTTCATTTGTGTCAGACGATGTGTTTGACATCTGTAACGATTCCCGCCAAGCCACAAACGATTTAAAAGACAGTTAGGGTTGATTTGAATATAGCGAGCAGTACGACGCCGACCGTGACGGATAGAGACTGGCAACTCACTAATAGCTAACATTTATACCCCGTTAATGATAATCATTTTTTCTCGCCAAATTTTAACGTCAACTTTTATTAAGTGATTTTCAGGACATGTTCCTACTCAGATGGGTTTGACGTGATGTGAAATTCCTTTTCAGAAATATCGGAAGTTGAACATTTATCATGGAAACTATTATATTTTGACGCGGAATTGGCTTATAACGAATGATTTGAGACCGACTAACAATACGTGGCTGTATCAGCTAACGCGCCATATATGCAGTCGAAATCCAAGTTGATGTAACAGCTAACTGTATTTAGGAACAATTATTACACCATGTGCAATGAATTATGGGATACATCCTATTTTATGTTTGCGTATTAAGTGTCAATGAATTTTTAAAAGGATGATTTTATCTTTCAATCTTCGACTGTATTTGAGTGGAAATCAATCTTGCTGATAGCAAGGTAAAACCACTAAATCCCTTCCAACGATTATTCATGAATATGAATACAATTATGGCTACAATGTGATTCACTTATAGAAACACGAACTACTCGTTACGTGAAAAGAATATCTCAAAGTCGCCGCAGCATGTTTTTTTTTTTTGAAACGCCAGTGATAGCTTAGGGGTTTTAAAAAATACCTAGGCGCCTAATGTTGGCAGACGACAACTGTAGAATGATTAGAAATGTTATCAAGCATGAGTCGAAAATAAGCGAACATACACGGCGTTTTGGAACGTCACAATCATCATATTGAATAGAAAATGTGATACAGGG